TGTAGACTTTCCCATTCCACCAACCCCAAACACATTATCCTCAGAAAACCCCTTTGTTGCTGCCTCAATTTCTTCATACACCATTCTATGTGGCCAATACTCCAACTCCCAATCTTCCATTTCCTACCTCTTCCGTCTCTACTACGCTTCCTCTAAATCAAAATCAGTGCCAACAAAACCAAAACACAAATAACTAAGAAAACTCCAACACTAAACCCTGCAACATTTTGGGAATCTCTCAAAATCTTTAGTGTGTACTCCTTCATCAACATTTTTTACAACAGAACAAAATTATACATAATGTAATGTGGTTCCAAAATTCATACTAACAACTTCAGTGGAGCATGCCATTTTACAACAGTATAAAGAATAGTAACATTCAAAATGAAGAAGAGATTACCGTGAGAAAATATGAACAACAGCGACGCAGAAGTGGTGCAACAACGACATGGTAGTTGTGAGGCAGCGACGTGACAACGGTGCGACAGTGGCAGCGATAACGGACGACAGTGCGACAGTGGCAGCGACAACAGACAACGGTAGGAGCGTGACCAAATGCAGATCTAGGTTTTAGTTGGAAGTGAGAAGGGGATTTAGTCGGAAGTGAGAAAGGGATTTAGTCGAAAGTGAGATGGGGAAGAACGGGAAAATGTTAATTTAGTATTTTTATTAAAAATTATAAGATTTCTATAATTTTGAAAAAATATATCCTTATTATTATATTAAAGATGTTTATATTAAAAATAATATTGAATTAAATAAATATTTAAATATAATAATTTTTTTATTTCTTATAAAGATTAATTTCTAAAAAGATTTATAAAAAATATTATTTATAAAATTTTATACTAATTTAAATATTATTAAATATTTCTTACAAATTTAAATTTATAAAAAATTTATAGAAAATAATTTTAAATATTTACCAAATAATTTTATAGAAAATTTTTTAGATATTTTTTCAAAAAAATTATAATTATTTCTAAATAATTTATTTTAGATACAGAAAATAATTTATAGATATATAATATTTAAAATAAATTTGGTAAAAATAAATTTCAAATAATTTTTTTTAAAAAATTATAATTAATTTTTGTTGATATTTTTTTAAAAACATCAAAATTATTTTTTATAATTATATATTTTTAGAGAAATTTACAAGTATTTTTTGTAAATAATTTTTTGCAAAAAAAAATACAGAAAATAATAATTTTTAATAAAAAACTAACTTGTATTTGCAAGAGATATGTAAAGAAATCTCTAACAATTTTGCATTGAAATTGTGAAAAAATAGTTTCCAGCAACTTAATACTCTTTTCAATTTGATATTTGCTATAAATTTGTTACAGTTTAGCTATGATTGCATGCTACATAATTTAGTTAGGAAATAGTTTCAGAAAGTAACATGACTAATATTTATAGCGATGAATCAGTGACAAAAATTTTCCTAGCTCAATTATTTTTCTACTGAGTGAGTGAATAACTACAAAAATGTTAATCTTTTAACTATTTTGCTACAGATTAACTACAACCTTATTCATTTAAGATTCCATCGCTAATTAGCTATAAATTAGTGAAAAATAAATTTTATAGCAAATTTTCCTAACTAATTGTAAAATTTCTTGTGGTGACTTATGAGAACTTTTAAGATTTCGTGTATGTGTTTTTTTTTATATATGAAATATATCTCATATGGGCATATATCCATATTTTTCTTCATGTACTTGTATTTATATATAGAGTAAAAATATGACAAAATATCAAATATTAACAATATATCAATTATAATTACATTAATCAAAATAATAACTTAATTTTTTCTCTTATTATAAGCAATAATAAAAAATTCGTAATACCCAATTTAAATAAAAGATAATAAAATAATATTTTCAACATGATAATATTATCTAAATGAACTTGAGATAAAAATATATAACGAGAATTTACAATAATATATGCATGTTATTAATTATGTAATTCACGAAAAAAATGGGAAATAATTAACATGAAAAAAATAAAATTTTTACAAATGAGGTGATTTTTAGTTTTTTTTTTTCTTTTAAATTGAAGTTTGGCAACATCTCAATGTTAACAAAATTATGATTTTAAGTGTTGTTACCTACATTTTGTAGGACAAACGTCCTTTTCGAGTATGCTACAGTTGAGGAGGAACATATGTAAAAACTATTTCGATGCTTAAGTATATACGGGAATAAGTAAGAAGAATAGTAATCATACCATAATAAAAGAAATACAAACCTTTTATATAGTAATATTATGACTCTAACTATACGAGAATTGCATGATATTTCATCCATATTTTACTGAAGAATATTTTGGGTAGTTTCAAGTATCGCGAAAAATGTCAAGATACTTGTTTGAATATCTTGACCACTTGTGTTATGTCACTGTTCTTGAAATTGGATAGGTACATAAGTCCTTTGAGCTTGGAGTCTGAATATGTTGTAAGTGCAAAATTTTTGTGAAGACAAACAAGTTAAATTGGAGCTCTACATTTTTACTTTTTTGCCTCCAACAAAACATTAAATCCCTTCTCCCTGTATTATGCATTCGTTCTTGCTTCACTTTGCATTAAGAGAAAAATCATCTTTTGCTTTAGTTGTTTCTATCATAGGTATTGAGTTGTTCCCTCTTCTTCTTCATTTTAAACCATGTCTCCTTTTTCTTTAATTGGTTTTTCTGAACACAAATGTCATCTTACCTCTCGTGAGGTGCGTTAAATGACAGTTCTAGTGATACTAGAAGTTCAAAACGAGCCTCATCTTTGTCTCAAGAAGTGGAGGTCACTTCAACTGTTTTTCCAATGGTTACTTTGGTGTTCTGGAAGCATAAAGTGGATCCTTAAAACAAGTTGCTAAGGTTCAAAAGGGAGAAATGAATATGAATGACAAAATAGGTTAGACCCGATGGGCCGACCCGCCAATCCACCTAAAAAGTGATGGGATGGATTAGTGTACATATTACTTAATAATTCATATGACATAAAATTAATTACTTTTTTAAGTGTGATGATTAAAAAATACAAAGTAATTGATATTGTATAAAAGGTGAAATATCTTAATTGTACTAAACACAAATATTTATCATAGTCATTATATCTTAATTGTACTAACATTATCTTACCTAATCTTTTTTGGTTGAACCCAACCTAACTCAATTTGTCCAACTTCACCTGATCTAACTCGTCTCGATTTAGCCTAATCCATAAAGACAACGATCAAATAATGATAATATGCCAAATTGTGGTAATTTTTGGATTTATTATTTTTGTGTTTAGTGGTAATTGAAACGCTTTAAAAAAAATCAACAATTTTAAATTATATTATTTAAATAAAATACTAAAAAAATAAAATATTCTAAAATGAAAATAATTCAAATTTAATGTATTTAAATTTTTTTAAAAATGATAAAACTCTTTATTTAAATATAACGTTGGGAATAATAATTTCTTTAATATTTAACCTTATCACTCTAACATAAAAAATTCAAGAATGAAAATATCTCATTTTCATCTTACTTATAATTATTAAATCAACGGAATTTCTACTTATTGAATATTAGGAATATGTGATGAATATAGATATTTGAAGTACTACTTTAACTTAAAAATGCAAGTTTTTTGAAATATATTTAGAAGTGACACAAGATAAGATTTATCAATGTAAATTTGATTATTGAAACCAAACTAGTTCCATATTTTATGACAACATCTTAATATTATTACACAACTTTTACTTATTATTATTTTTTCTATGCATTAAAAATTGAGAGGTGTCTAATTCAATATTACAAAATCGATTTGTAAAATAAGATATATATCTCAATTATATATTATAAGTTGCTCATATATATAATACACGTGAGATTTTCAACACCCTCATGAATAGGAATAAACATCTCAAGAGGGTAGACTAATAATAGATGGAATAATAGACCAATCAATGGTATTAAAATAAATTTGAATACCATATTAAAAAAGAAAATTTGTCAAACTCAACTCTAAAAATGAGAAGAAAGATTTGAATTTGAATTATAAATTATTAGTTGATCATTAATATGAAATTTCCAACTAAGTAGTAGTAATGGTAAGGAAAATCTCTTTCTATCTCAATTTTCTTTATTCAAGGGGATGTTGGAAAGTCTTAATTCTTGATAACTTATATTTCTCTTTAATTATTTTTGTCTCAATTGGTTTTAAATTAAAATATGGCATATGTTATAAATATTTAACATTTTTTTATTTTCTTTATTTAAATTTTGATTTTGTAAAAAACGTTGGAACTTAATTTGAATTTATTTGTTTTAATGTAATTAATTATTATTTATTTTCTAAAAACCAATAATAAAGAGTAATTCTAACAGGAATGAAAGAAATATAAGTAGTCGAGCAAAACCAGTTTATAAGACTCTTGACAAAAAAACTCATGTACCATTGGAATGAACCTAGAGTATAGAATAAAATGGGATAAATTTTTGTATTAATATTACGTAAAGGGAATTTTTTATTATTCATAAACCAACATATAATTTGCAAAGGTGTGTTACCAAAAAAAAAATTGACATGAAAAAAAGCACGTATTATTATGGTACTAAATAGTATATTTTTACAATTAACATTTAATAATTTTATTGCTTAACAGTTTCTTTAGTATATTAAGTAATATTATATCTACAAATAAAAGAAAAGTTAAAACATAAATTTTTAACAAGTTTAGGGTTTTTTACTTACAAACGTAACCTACACCATATATCTTATTTCATAATCCGTAGAAAGCCCAATTTAGCTCCCGGCGAGGATCGAACTCGCGACCTTTCGCTTACGAAGCGAACGCACTACCACTATGCTACGGAAGCAGATGTTAGTATTGATGAATTTTAAATTTTAATACGTTAAACATAGAAATAGGCATAAAGTCAAAACAAAACCCTACTAAAACCACCTCAATCTGTGAAGCTGCTAGAACAGAGAAGAGAAGGCAATGTGTGGAATTGCGTTGATAGTTTCAGGCATTCGTATTGACACCTCATCGTTGCCCTTCGATTCAACAAGCCCAACTCGCAAAACCGAGAAAGTAAGCGCATCTATCACCCTTTGAAACCAACAAAAAAACTCTAAAGCAAGCTGTTATAATGATTCTTATCATTTCCTTTTACCTGCCGCAGTTGTTCTTCTCTTTTGATGACCTCAAAGCAGCTCTGTGGAGAAGAGGCCCAGATAGCGTGTGCGACAAGAAGCTTCTTCTTCGATCAGAGGAAAACCTAATTTCATCCTTCACAACCGATGGTGTGTCATCTGCGGAACGCGACAAAGCCGATGATATCCACACCGCGAAGCTTCATTTCTTCGGAGCAACCTTGCAGCTCAGGGGAATTAACCCGCTTATTCAGCCAGTGGTGGACACATTGGGAAATGTTCTCGTGTATAACGGTATTCTGTGCTACTTTCTGTTCCTCGTTTTTTTTTTTTTTCTTCTGATTCTTTCTAGGTTTTGATTTCGACTTTGCTTCTTAGGTGAGATTTTCGGAGGATATCATCTCGCGAGTGATTGCAACGATACTGAGTTTCTCATGCGGACTTTAGGGGAGTGTTGCTCCTGTGGTTCTTGTTCAGCTGGTCACTGTGTTGAATGTGGAAAAAGTTCAGTTGTGGGTGTTCTTTCCGCAATTAAAGGACCCTGGGCTATCATTTACTGGCAGGTAACACCCAGTGGTAAGTTTCTTTGTGTATGAATCTTTTGCGGCGTGATTTTCGTGGACATTGTGTCAGAGGTTGTGCTTTCTCCTTCGTAGAATAGCTCGAGGACTATTTGGTTTGGTCGAGATGGGTTTGGTCGGAGGAGCCTCCTCGTTCACTGGCCGGCGGAAGATAACTCAACCTTTCTGCTTTCTTCCGTGTCACCTGTTTCGCCGGTTCAGCAGGCCGCTGGTAAGAATTCCCGAAACAGCTATAGTTATCTTGCTCTTATGGTTCAATTTTTGTGAACTAGAGGGATCAACAGAATCTATTGCCAGTTAGTAAAATGTTGACCATTGTTGTAGTTTAGTGATGGTGGGAAGGTATTGTAAACTATGCACTCAGTCCTGACTAATATAATAAAGAGATATATGACGCTGAAAGGCATGCAGGAAAGGGTATGAATGATTTTTGGAGATTCTTTATATGACGCTGCTTAGATGACTCCTGCATCTTGTTCTTTCAATATTGTTGATTCTGGTTTTAAATAGATAGGAAATGGCAATAAAGAGAAAACTATAATCTCATAGGAAATAAAATAATATGGCAGAACTGCGGAATTACTGTTCTTTCTGCTCCCTCCTCCCTTGCCCCGATCCACTTTTGCCTATCTCCAGAATATTTTCCTCCTCTGCTGGGCTGCTGTCTGTCCATTTTATTACATTCCAATTCTTTGTTATCGTCAACCACCTTTTCTTGTATTATCTTTGACAAACATTGTCTTTCTACCTTTTATGGTCTTTTATTTTTACAATCCACTTGCGTATCTCCTTTTCTAGATTTTTTTATGTGAGGCCTCTTACAATATAAGCTAATCATTTGTGTAGTTATAACCTGGACTAGTGAAGGAATCAATATGGGGCTACGTAGGTCACCTGTTGGACTGCTGCTGGTCTGGCTAAACATCCTAGCCTGAAAAGAAAAAGGAAAAACCACTAAAAACTGAATGTTCTGGTTTAGTTCTAAAAACTAACCCTGGTTTTCCTATTTTGACACATTTAAATCTACTGGCCTGGTCTAGGTTTTAAAACTAAAGTTAATTATGTCAGTTCTTCAATTTTTAGCTGAATTTTAGAACAATATGAGTGTATGACTTAATATAAATTTGCTTCAGAGGATGAAACTCAGAATGGGATAGGATGTTTTGGTTACTGGGAAGAGCTACCATGCGGAATATATAGTGTGCATGTAGATGTTTCAAAATCAAGTGGATATCTTATAGCTAAAGTCAACATGCATGAATATACAAACGCAATGTTAAATGAACTTATCAAGTGGGATAGAATTTCTGTTGACCCAAGCTCTGAAGACCTGCAAACATACTGTCATAACTTATCCAGGGAGCAACTTGCTATACAAATGGCTTCTTCAGAGTCAGTTTCAAATGAAACAGGTGATTAAAGTGCCAGAATGTTCCATTTAGTTATTCAGTACTCTAATTGCTATTTTCATACACTCTTGTTCCTGATTTCCTTTAGCATTGTTTGGAAACTCTGTTCTAGCATCTTTGTCTTAATTATGCAGGCTCAGTTCAATCTGCAATTCCTGAGCCAGCTCATATTTTGCTTAATGCTTTAAAGGAATCTGTGTTACGGCGTACTTCATTGTATACTATTTATCAGGTATGCAACTTAACTGGAACTGGTTACAAGTTTTGTCACTGATAATATGCATTCTATGATTTTTGGCTAACATCAAGGATAAATGTTCTTGTCAGTTTGTATACTGTTAAGACTCTTTAGCTATTTTCAGTGGATTTCTCTTACCTTTTTGAACAATTAATTGGATTCTAAAATTATATTCTTTATTAGCTCTAACCTGCGGCTGAGTCTATGACTAAACATTGAATTGTCTATAACAATTTAAAAAGTAACGTGTCTTAATTTAAGTGATTTATTTTTATAATTTCTTCCTTAATATTAAAATTCTTTTATCTTTAATTTATTCTTTTCTAATAATGAAAACATATACATTTCTCTTTCAATTTTAATTTATTTATTTATAAATCTTAATTAAATTTAAAAATGGTTGTGCAACACGTGGGAAACTTGATAGTGTTATATATATACATGATTGGACTATTTGGATTTGTTTGCATAGGCAGTGAAATCTGGTATCAGACAAGAGGAATTTGTTCCCGTGGCAATTCTTTTCTCTGGTGGTTTGGACTCCATGATACTTGCAGCATTACTGGATAAATGCTTGGATCCTAGTTGTGAGTGCTTTTAAATTAACTGAATTTACCAACTTAATACAATCTTAATTAGTTTCTTGTTTGATTTTGAGTTATATTGTATGAAGCAGGAGAACTGGTTGAGGTGACATATTTAATTTGGGAATCTTCAGCTAAGCTGATTTTTAATTTATTTTGGATTGACAGATGAAATCGATCTACTTAATGTAAGTTTTGATGGTCATTTAGCTCCTGATAGACAATCCGCGAAAGCAGGTTTGAATGAACTAAGAAGAGTTGCACCTTCCAGGAAGTATGTTATCTACTGTTTTTCTTTCTGCTTTCTGTTTATTTATTTGTTTTTTGTTTGAAAACATAAATTGATTTTTTTCTCTCTCCTTTTGAATACTAAATTGTGGTCTAATTAGTCTGTATGGTGTTGACTTTACTAATTTTATTTGGGATGGGAATTAAAAAAAGGGCGGAAATTATTACGTATTATCGGATTAAATATTTCAGCTCGAAACTCTCTCCAGTTAAATGGTCTGAAACATCTTTCTGTTGTTACATTGGGCACTGAAAATGAGCTGAAACATCTCTCTTGTGAGATTGTGATAGAACTGGTTAAATCTATACTAAAGATTGCTATAGAGATAGCATATTTATTGATGATAATCTCCAGGGAAATGTTGCAAAACAGAGATTAAGGGACAAACAGATAGAAGTACAGAAAGAAAGAGGGTACAAGATTGCTAGGAGTTCAAGATTCTAGTCTCTCCCAACTAATTACCCACCCATCTTTTCCTTCTATTTTCCTATTTATTATTTACACAGCTTCTAAGTTACAGGCCCGGCCCAATTGTATTGGCCTTCCTCCTACTATAGATTAGGTCCACTAAATGGGAGGCAACTAGTCCTCAAGTGCCAAAACTGGTAGTTGAGCAAAGTCAGTGGCAGGGCTTATGGGTTGTTGGTGACTGGAAGGGAGCCTGAAAAATCTAAGTGACCGGAGGCTTGGAATAGATGCCTTGGTGCAATTATGGAAGAACCAGCTCTGGTTAAGAATGTTGTAGAGTGTGTAAGGAAAAAGGGAGAGAAAAGTAATTGAAAATGTTGATTTTACCATTTCCTTTCACAGAAATTTGAAAACAGGAAATTCATGAAACATGGTCCTTTTGTAATTGTCATTGAATACACAAATTAAAAATGTAAAAAAGAAATTAAACCAAGCATCCTTCTGAGTAAGCAAAAAATAAAGAAGACTGGGGAGAAACAGTAACCTGAGAACGTAATAGAGCAGAAAGTTAGAAAAAAAAAATATTGATACCTAATTTAACCTCAAATGTATGTTATTATTATACAGCACTTCGGATGAGAAAATTTCAACAATTTTTTTTTTTAATTTATGAAAATAAGTATGCAAAAACATCACTATTTTGATTACAATCAAAATAGGTTGACACCCTAATCAATGTCAGTCATGCGCAACATACTCTTATATTTAAAAATAAGAAAGCAGTACAAATGGCGGGACCAGATCAAAAGCCACGAAAAAATAATGAGAATGTAAATTAAGGCAAATTAGGTTTGTCTTTACCAAATCAACACTAATAAAGGAGGTAATATCATTCCACCAGTAATAATCTTGATTTCTAATGCCAAAGTCAGCAAGGTGATCAGGACAGGTATTTCCTTCTCTATATATGTGAGAGACAGAGAATCTCATGTTCTTGAGCAACTCCATGCAATATAACCACCTGTTTTGAAGTCTCCATGGAATAAGGTTTTTGGTTAGAAAAAGCTTTTACTACAGTAGTATAATCACTCTCGATGATTAAAACTATTTTTTCCTATGAGCAATCTCAATAGCATGCATGGCTCCTGGTAATTTAGCTGCTATAGAATGGGAGTTAATAGCTGTTCCATCTGCGTTACACTTTAGCCAATAAAAAAGTTGAGGTAACCAATTGACTTGAGTGATTTTTGGAGCAAATTTCTACTTTATTTCCACCATTATTGATATAGTTTCTGTAGCCGTTGCTTATCACTGGGAACATATGGGAGTTTCCTTTTGGAGGTAGGATATGCCCCTTAAGGTTGTCCAGGAGGCGTAAGTGTGAAGAGAGGCCAAGAGGCATAATACCTTAAGGTTGTCGAGCTCAGAAGTGGATGGCCTTGATGGTCTACAGAAAGGTTGTCAATCAAATGACCTAAATTATTGGAACAATCAAATGACTTAATTTCTTAAAGTTGTCCTATTAACTCCAAAATACTAAAAGTTAAAAAAAATACAAATATTTCCATCCTTTTCAATGTTATATCATGTAACTAATAATCTTATCATCCAATTTCCATTCCTCATTTTTTGCTCTGATATCATACTCCATGAATTGATATCATGAATTCATAATGCTTATGTTAAGCTTGAATTTCAGGTCAATATTTATTTTGTTAATTTTTAGTTTCATGTGTAGGCTTTAGAATATGCTAGGTATGTTTACTACAAAATATAATACAGAGTCAATTACACAGATTAAGTGATAACATTGGGGTGTATTAAGGAGATTAAAGAAAGGTATCCTTTTCTTGGCTTCGTGTACATTAAATACATAAATTCTATTTCTCACTTGCTTTGTTAATGTTAAACTATAAGAAAAAGAGAAGCATTGACCTGAAGCCATGTGTTTCTATGCAGCATAAGTGATTGAGAAAAAAAAATTAAACAATTAATAGAATAGATTTCATTTCCTCTAATAATAAAGATACTGTACTAGAATAAAATTACACTAAAAATACAGATATGATCTTTATTTCTGCAATTATAACAGCTAGGATGGATATCTTATTCTCTGAATAAGATATTCATCGTTTGTCATTCAACTGGATTCTTATGTAGTTATATTGTTGTGATCATGCACCTATTTTGCTTTATGTCAAAATATCTGTTGTAGCATCTATCATGTTAAGGTGAAAGTGCATTATAATTTTGCAGATGGAGACTTGTGGAAATTGATGCTGATTTGTCAGACTTGGTGTTCGAAACTAGTCATGTTATGTCACTCATAAATCCTGCCAACACCTACATGGTACTAATTAATTGTCTGGATCTGGAATTAATCATTTTTATTCTATCATGCATAATTTTTAATCCTCTAGTTATTTTAAGTTGATTTGAATAATTGAAAGAATAACCAACTGCAACTGTCACCTGTTGAGAGGGAATATGCATATCATCAATGTAGTCAATAGCATATGTTTATACTGCTGGCAAGCATTTCACAATTTAGTTATTTGGAGATAAATAATTTTGGAAAAACGAGATCATGTGGAGAAGAGAGGGAGAATTGAGGAAAACATTTAGAGGATGACATGTCATAATAACGGAAATTTAAGTATGCCAGTTGCTAAGGATTTAGATGTCAAACATAATAATTATTGAAACTTTGTTAAAAGTTTTTGAACTATATGAACTTAATTTAAAACTTGGTGAAGTTATAGTGATATATTGATTAATTTAATAGAAAAGTATTAGCTTTTATTTAGTAAATTTCTTGTAGCTAGAATAGACTAACAAACAATGCATACAAGGTTGAAAAGGAAAGTGAAAGGCAACATATACAATTGAAAAGGTGGGTAATGAATTCTGTTTCTTTCATGCTGAATGTAGCCTTTTTTTTTTGTTTCACTTTTAATGTAACTTTCATGTTCCTCCAGACAGGTGAAATGGAAATTTTAGACTGAAAACACTGTTGCTAAACTTTTGAACACCTTTAGTATTTCCAATTTGATGATTGATTTGCACATATCTTTTCAGGACCTTAATATTGGAATAGCTTTATGGCTTGCATCTGGTGGGGATGGATGGGTATCTGATGCAAATACATTTGATAATGATGACAATCATGTACGGATTAAGTATAAGTCTAATGCAAAGATTCTCCTTGTTGGTTCTGGGGCTGATGAACAGTGTGCTGGGTATGGGAGACATAGAACAAGTTATAGGCGTGGAAGGTACTATTGTGATAATGGTACATTGTGTTTTAGTGCTATTATCCTTATGTTTACAACATACAATGAAAATATCATTTTGATTCTTTCATCTCCGTTGTAATGAATAAAACTTTTCTTTTTCCTTTTTAATATTAGTTTGGATGTTAAAGTATTCAGGTCATTTGTCATTGTTGATTCTTATATCTTTGTATTATTCATTAATTCTAATGTTAGTTTTAGAAATGAAAAAAGAGCAATTTGATAACATTTTTTTAATTCTCCCATTTTCATTCTCAAAATATTTATCATCAATATAGTTTCTCAATTTTCAGAGTGTCATCAAATTGCTCTTTTTTGTTAAATAGAGAATTAAATGTTATTTAATCCTAATTTAGGGACTCTTTGACTACATTTTGTCTGATCGGGGAACTAAATTGCTGATACTTTACATCATTGAAGGACTAAATCCATGGCATAATATTTCAAGGACCAAAGCAATAATGATACTTATATCCATAGATGATGAAAATAGGTTCCACTTAAAAAATTTATTGAACAGAAAGTACTTGATTGATAATTTTTTAGAAGATTTCCTTTTTTAATTTGGCAGTTTAATGTACTTATACTAAATTATTGAAATTCTTAGGTTAACTAATTGTTAATAGACTGATTATGTGGAATATGTGCATTATCTTTCAATGTATTCTGATCGCATAGTATGCATTGATCAGTTGGCTGGGGCTACACGAGGAAATGAAACTCGATATGCAAAGAATTTGGAGAAGAAATTTAGGTAGAGATGATAGGTGTATTGCTGATAACGGGAAGGAGGTAATATTCAAAGTCTATAAAAAATCAATATGGACCTACGAGTCATTTATCTTACTTTTTTCTCCCTTGTTTTGCTTCTGTTTCCTTTAGGCTAGATTTCCATTCTTGGATGAGGATGTTATAAGGCTGTTGCTTGATATTCCGTTGTGGGAAGTTGCCAACCTCGATCAACCTAGTGGCATCGGTGATAAAAAGATTTTAAGAGAGGTATTACTGTTTATTGGACCATTTGCTTACTTTTCTCGTTTTTTGCTGTTATACAGTTGGACCATTTAATGGCTGACTGAGCTGACACTTTCCTCAAGTTCTTTTCTCTCCCTTTGGCTGAGCAGAATTATATGCCTTATGAACGTGTTGTTGCCTGAACTTAATCCACATTCCGTGCACGGGAAAAAAAAATAAAAGCTTCTGATCTCGACAGGAAATTTGTTTTCCCTTAATATGTTTGACATCAGTTTCCATATACCAGTGGAATGTATTTGAAACCCCTGCCCTCTCCTAAATAAAGATAAAACGTATATTCACACTCTAGAATCTTAACCTTTTATTGGTCATAAGTAATCCTGCTTATATTAAGCAGATAATGTGCCGATTAGTTCTTGTTTACGGTTACTACTCGAATTTGATGTTGTAATTTAGCAAATCAATTCCTTTTCTGTTTGGAAAGCCCCCAAAAGTGAATCTTGAATCTCATAGTTGATATATTTCTTGAAGGTTGCCGAATTACTTGGTTTATATGAAGCGGCAGTTCTACCAAAACGAGCAATTCAGGTGTGCTCTGAATCTTTACGGTTGAATTTACTTGATGTAGAAAACAGTGGATTTCTAAACCTATGTAAAACCATCAAAGGAAAAATGTGCTATTTGAGGGGTTGCAATTTTTAAATATAAATCTTCTAGGCTTATTTTAGTTTTAGACCACTCTTTGGGACACAGTTGATCCGTTTTGTACTCTGCTTGTTTACCTGTGTACCAGAACCATATTGTCTTTTCATTAGATTTCAGGTTAGATATCAAATTGTCAATAGAGCGGTATGATTACAGGGATGCATTATGTATAACTGCTATGAGTACGGTGAAAACCTATTATTTTTTTTCTCAGTGTATTTTTGTAAGAAACTCGTGTATAAGGAAATAATAGCCAGAGGAGAGGATGCAGCTTCACTTGATCAGTTAATGACTATAATTTGTTATTAAGTGGCACATATGTATATAGCTTGGTTAATTGCCACTGTTGATTTGTCTTTCTATTATATGTTTATTTTTGTAGTTTGGTTCAAGAATTGCAAGGGAATCGAATCGGAAGAATTTTGGAAGCAACCGAGCAGCAAATCAGGCATCTGCTGGCAGCGTAAAGATTAATAGGAAATCCAAATTTTGTTGATTTTATTTGGTACGCGGAACGCATATTGTTTTCATATGTAGATATTAATAGGCATATTTTAAAATTATGTGCCTATGTATTCGATTAAGAATTTGGATTGCATCTTGGAACTACTGGGAAACAAGCATCTATATCTGATGGGTTCTGATCATATCTTTATGCCCCAGAGGTTTCCTAACGCCAAAACTTTGCGAGCTTGATCTCAAACATGCTTTTACACCACTTGACTCTTGACTGGATATGATTCCGAGATTAATTTTACGAAACAGGGTTATGAGGTTTTCAAATGATCAACAATGTAATTGTAATTGTAATTGTAATTATAATTCTTTAGTTAAATTACGGATCACTCTTTTTTAAGATTCAGGTATAACGTATTGCTAACTAAATGTATGTGGAATCATAGCTCAAGTAATATGAAAGAAAAGTGAACTTTATTTTAATTTATTCAGTATCATGAAGGGCACCCTCAAACACAGGTTTCAGAGTGTATAGACGTCACTTACAAGGCATAAATTGTTAATGGACAACTTACCTATAATTATAATTATATTGAAGCTGTTAATACCTCTACTTATCTGTACTTCAGAAAATATATTCTTAATTAAATTCACAACTTACCTCAGAAAGGTCATCGAGCCTTTTTGACTGATAAAATATAAATTTTAAAACATTAACATTTGGAAAATAAAAAAGTTATTTCTGTACTTAATTGAGTGATGTTTTAATACTAATTTTTATAACATTAAGTGAGATTTTTTATGATTTCTTTTCTTCTTTTGCCTTAAATAGTTAATGCAAAGTAAATAAAAATAACTTTGTAAAATTGTTTCAGTATGTAACAATCATAAAGTTAAGAGGGGAATCATTCCTCAAAAGCTAGCTCAAGAGGTTGGAGAATCTCCTACTTATAAAACCTTCCTGGTAAGGAGACTTCCCAACGTGGGACTTGGTACAAAATCGCTACATTAAGTTATTTAATACTTTTGAATGTAAGTTATTTAATACTTTTGAATATTTAAAGAACGTATATTTTTTTAATGGATAGAGTACATAAGAGATAAAAATAATTACACAAATTATTAAGTATGCCATCTCAATTGTTTAATATTAACATTAAATAGTGAATTTCAACGACTTAAACGTCTAATGCTTTGATTAAATACTGTCTCCTGACCGAAATCCCGGGACCAGGTTGCCTAGACTGTTGTTGGATGCATATAGTCATGAACAGAGAACTAACTCGACTAGTTAAACTAAAAACTGGTAAGTCACCATGTCCTGAAAAAAATCTCAGATTTACTTAACAGTCAATGCAAATAGATTGGATTTCCTTATTCAACGCATATGCGTGGACTATGCGTTACATATAATAAGAGTTGCTTGAAAGATATGTTATGGATCTATGTGAAGGAACACAAATAAACCAACATGATGAAGGACAAACCAGATATCAAACCAACAAAAAAAAAAACATAACGAGATAAAAAAAAACACATACGAAACATAGGATTGCAATTGAGTCCCGTGAACCCATGACATCCGACTACACAGGGAGAAAAGAAGGGCTAGAGAGAGAGGAGAAGGGGAAGGGGAGAAGGGTGGGAGGAAGAATGGGAGAATGAAAAATAATGAATAAACAAAGAATACAAGAAGGAAGATGGAAGTAGAGGAAGGATGAGAGACTAAAAACTAAAAAGAAAAAAGGAGGATGGAAGGGTGTAAAATGTTGGAGTAAACAAATTAAAAGGGGACAACTAATAAAAATATTATAAATATATTAGCAAACAAAAATTAGATATATACATAATAGAAAATAATTGTTTGAGATTTTTTTCTTTTAAAATAAAATTAAATATAATATTAGGATCTATATTTTTTATATTTTAATACAGAAAATAATTTATTAAAAGTGTCTTAATTATATTATGACATGCATCATATTTTATATAGATAATATATATATATATATATATATATATATATATATTAGTTTCAAGTAACTCATTTAATTGAAATCTATTTTTTATTTATAAATAATTTTTTAAGTAAATCTCTTTAAAAATGTTTTAAGCATACTATTTTATTTTTATTGTTAATAATTAAAACACATACTGTAGTATTTATATTTTTATACTAAAATAATTAAAATTCAATATTTATATTATATTAATTATATATTTTTTTTAAATAAAATGTTTTATTTTTTATTTTATGACTTTATTTATTATAGTTTAATTAAATATATTATTTTAGTGCATTGCATTGAAATTTGTTTTAATGAAAATAATTAATTATATAGAAGTAGACAATAAAAACAAAGTAATAAATTATGTATTACTAAAATTTAAAATATCAAAGTTATATTTGGAAATGTGTATTATTATAGTTTCGAGGAGTCATTATGTTTTTTAATTAATCAACATTATTTGAGGTTAAATGATTTTGTTAGTAAATAAATATACAGTGATTAATTAGTTTGACTTCATAAAAGATAATTAAAAATTTGAAAATGAAAAAAAGAACCCTTTATATAATAACATATATTATTATTGTTATTTTTTATTTTCAGGTTTAGTTGGCAGTATCTCAAGAGACAAGTAGAAAAGAAAGAGAAAGTGAACGGGAGATAAGAGTAACGAATATGAATCATAATATTTATGAAAGAAGATAGTTTAAAAAAGGAATTTTTTTCCTTTTTGACAGAAAGAATGAAAAAAGAAAAAGAAAAATGGTGTTGAGGGAGGTCCTGAGATGTGGTGCTCCAAGGCCCCATGTTATTCCTTATCTACTTTTTGCAGAGTAACTCCTCCCCCAAGTTGCGTAAAGCAAGGAGAGGTGTTACCAGCATCACTACGATTGAATCAGACATATGATGGTGGCCTTGGGAGACCCTTGACGGCGCCACAGACCAGAGCGTAGTCGGGCATGTTGTACTCGTCTCTCAGAGAACGTGCTGGGGTTGGAACACTGATGTAGAGCTGTTGCCCCAAGTAGCGATTCTCAGCGAGCTCCGACCTCAAGTTCCACATTCCAACGTTGTCGAATGTCAACATTATAGCAGCCCAAGACTTGGGGAATACCTGAATAGTGTGCCTGCTCACAGCATCGAGAAGATTGTAGTTCTTTCTCTTCACAGGGTTCCAAGTCCCAGGCTCAATACTACAAACAAACAAACAAACAAACAAACAAACAAACAAATTAATTTTGATTTCGTTTCCATTTCACAATATCAATATCAATAGTGATAACAACGATACTCACGCGACGGCGAAGAAGGAGAAACCGTTCAAATTGTATGACTGGACGCTCTTCTCGTGGTTCTCGAAGATGATCTCGATGAAGGTGCGGTATTCGAACTTGATAACATTGGGCTGGATGGTCATAGTGTTTACAATGTTGGCTGGTGGGTCATCGACAATGGTGTCGTACTTGAAGACCTGGTCGGCGATGCCGAAGTACTCGGCGAGCTTGAGTGGAGTCTCTCCATCAATATGAGAAACCCCGTTGAGGGCGTAGCGGAGCTTGCCGTTATCCCTGCTGACGGAGTTAACGAGCCTGACGGTGCGAGTGATGTTGATTTTTCCGTAGTGGTAGGAGCCCTGAGGGTTGGGCCTGGCGGCGCTGGCGGTCAAGTTCCAGCGGAAGGAGCGGAACTGATTGAGAGACCAGGCCCAGCCGACGGGGGCCTCGGGGATTTCAGGGGAGGCTGGGCCCTTGCCGTTGGTGTAGCGGATGATTCCCTTGCCGGTGAGGACGACTTTGGTGAAGCGGGATGAGGCGACAACGTAGTAGTCTTTGGGCTCTTGGTCAGCGGTGACGAGGACGCCGAAGCACTGGCCAAGGTGGACGTCGAGAGAGTCGTACATGTTCTGCACGGTGTGAGACCCTTCCAACTCGACGAGCTTCATCTGGTGGTTTTGGAAGCGGAAGTTGACGGAGTTTTTGAGACCCACGTTGCAGAGACGGTACTTGTAGGTCTTGCCGTGGATCATCGTGAAGAGGGGCTTGTCAGTGCCATCGCCCTTGGCGTTCTGCCCGTTCACAAGAATGGTCTGGGGGCGACCCAAGGCGCGGCCACTATCGAGGAACTTGCTGAGGGTGGAGTGGCTCTTGGTGTACCAGTCGCCGGCCAACAAGGTGTAGTCGTCCTCGGGGTCTGCGTATGGCACGGGGATGAGCAACCTGCTGTTGATGCGGAGGCCACCGAAGCCCCCGGCGGCGCGTTGCATGCCAATGCTGGGGTAATAGAAAAAGCTTCCAATCTGATCCTTGACTTGGAAATGGTAGGTGTAGTTGGTGCCTGCCTGAATGGGGCAGTTGGTGCCGACTACACCGTCTTGCCAGGAGTTCTTCCTTTGTTGGATTCCCGCCCAATGGAAAAGCAGGGGCTCGTCGAGGTTGTTGAAAATATTGACGACGACGTTATTGTTGCTGGTGGAGTTGATATTGGGACCTGGGAATTCCCCATTAATGAGAATAACCTGCTGGGGCACTCCGGCGGGAGAGAGAGTCCCGTAGGTTACGTTCCATGTGAAGAAGAGGTAAGGATCTTCACCCCTCACTGCGAACATGCTCCCTCCCATCAAACACACCACCATCACTGCAATCTTTGCTACCCCTTCCATCTTTTCTTCTCCTCCTCTTATTATGATTTACAGTGTAATAGAACACGATATATTCCATCTTTTCTCTCCTCCTTATATACACCTCTCTCCCCCTCTCCCACCCTCTCAGTATCTCCGCTTTCCTCTCTCCTTTCCCTCCTCTCATGCTCCGTCCAACGCGCTCCTCCTCTCACTTCCCCATTCTTTCTCAACACCCGTTCCATCTTCTCCCCTTCTCAACAGACCTAATCTTCTCCCTCCCCGCTTTTTTCTCCTCCTCTTTCACGTGTAATCAACTCCATTCTGTTTTCCTTTATTGTTACATTTATTAGTTATTTGTTTTTATTTGCTCATAAAATTTGCGTTTTTTTTCTATTTATTTATTTATTGCTAGCTATGCTTCCATAAAATATGAGTCAGTTCCACTAATTTAATAATTATTATAATATTCGTAGAATGAAATTGTCTATCCATTGCAATTAGGTTTTCATTGGATTGTTTTTGAAAGCATATATGATTCCAATTTGGATTTTTTGTATTTTATGATGCCATTTATTTTGTTATTTGGTCAGATTACCTAATGACAACCTGAACTTGTTTCCTAAACTAAACATTCACAATTTCTTATTTTCTTGCTCATATTTATGGATTCCGTTGGAATAATAGTATCTTTTACTTCCGTAGATATCGCAATCAATGTCATGGGAAGGTCAAACTTCAAAAAGTCAAAATCTTTTTAAAAATGAACACCGCCAATATTTTTCATAAAAAGATATTAAAAAACCTAATCATATAAAAAAAAAAGTCTTCAAAAGCATATAAATTTAAAATTAATTGTTTATAATGAAAATTCTCCATTAAAAAAAAAAAAGTCCCAACTATGGTCTATTTTTGAGTTCTATTGGGATACTGGAGTGGAGTCCATTATTCTTGGTCTGTTTAAAAGTTAAATTTTCATTCTAGTTTTCGTTGGATTTTGAATTTTTTGGTGCTTAACTTTGTGTGTTTGGGACCCTTCTCTATTTTATATTATTTAAAATAAATAATTATAATTATAATAAATTACATAAATATATATTTATAATAATTATTATTATTAGTTAAATATATAATTTAATTTATTATATTTATATTAAATATGTATGTAAAAATATATAATAATTTTTTATATGAATATAGAATATTACTATTATTATTATTATTATTATTATTATTATATATTATAATACTATTTAAACATGTAGTAATTTATTTTTAAGTTGTATTTTAAAATGTTAATAAATATATAAGGAAATATTTAATAAGTTAATTCTTCTTTAATTAGTTCAAAGTATTGAAAATTTTAATTAATTATTTTTAATCCTTCAAAATATAATTATTTTATTAAAATAAAATTTAATATATGACAAATAAAATAAAAATAATAAATTATGATATAATAAAACTTAACAAAAGATAAATTAGAAATAAAATAATATAAATTACTATTATGTTTAATGTACAATATTTATAAAAAGATAAAAAAGAAGAGATTAAAAAAAATAAATGATTGAATAGATTAAAGAGATGTGAAGAAGTAGAAAATGTAAAAGAAAAAAATAATGTAATGATTGATTTAAGATTGGAAAAAACAAAAAGATGAAAAGTGGATAAGAGAAAAGTAAAGATTGTAAAATATAAAAAAATAACTTTATTTATAATGTGAGAAAAAATAATATATTTTGAAAAGATTAATATTTTAGGATTTAAACTTAAATATAAAGTCGAGATAGAGGCAAGACCAAGAATCGAGAGATTTGAGGCTGAGGTGGGATTGTATTATCCATCCTCACACCTAATTTTTTAAAGTAGGAAAAATCTAAATCTACCTCGACCCTAGTTAACTTGATTTTTCCCATTAAACTTCGAACAATAACTGATCGGTTTGTATGTATGAGTTTAATTGTCATTCTTAGTTTCTACTTACTCGAAGGGTTTCTTCTTGTCGAAATGGGTTAAATGCCCAACAAATTATAGCTAAGATTGGTATGAAAACTACTAAGGATAGTAGAGGTTACTCTCCTGTCTTGGTTCCTTAACACACTTAAAAGATAACACATATTTTGTATACACATTTATAATTTTATTATACAACGAATGCATTTTCATATGTTTTATTATTAATTTTTAACTAATTTTTTTTAATTGCAATAAATTGAGTTTAATGATCTTATATTGTTTTAATTTTGTATTTTCAGTTCATGTGACATTTACACATTGTTTTGGATATAATATTTTCTATAGATATTATTTTTGAATGATTCTAATTACATTGAATTCTACCTTTTTGGCTTTGAAATGAACATATGGTTTGTTGGATTTGAAGTTCTTTACTATTTTCTATGATTTTTAGAAGTTAACACAAATTTATTAAAATTTTGTTAAGCAATCCATGCAAATTAGATTTTTTTTGTACTAATTTAAACTTTTGTAAATGAGTTTATAAACCTTATTAAAGATCACATTTAGGCTCATGTTTGCATCATATTTCAAAGCATGTGCTCTAAATTAATATATAGGAATTATTTTACTAAATTTTTAAATGAATGAATTATCTCTTCATCTTCTCTTTTCACTCAATTGCATTTTTTACTCTTCCTTTTCTACTCTTTTTTTGTCCAAATTTTTTTTTGATATTTTTTATCCATGAAAAACTAAATCTTAATCAAGTGATTAAATGAGGATTTGATTTAATGATACTTTGATATAATTTGTATAATTTATTTAGTTGATTAATTGAATTGATTAATTGAGTACGTGGATTGATTTTGTTTCATCTTTTTTATTCCGTCTTTTATTTTCTATACTTTTTCAATTTGAGTTTTATATTTTCAAATCTCTAAACTATCAAATTAACTTGTACTAAAAGAATGTTAAAAATTTAATACAATCAATATTTGTCATTGAGATAATTGATTTAGATTTATGCTGTATATAATAAAATCTTGGAGAAACTTAGAATATTTAATATCATGAATGATATTAACAATCAGTTGTCAACGGATGTGAAAATTTTCATATTTTTTATATTGATGACATCTGTATCAATTCAATAACCGATATAAAATTATTAAAATAAACTTGTGTAAAAGATTTAGGCACTTTCTTCCTACTTCTCTATAGTTTCTTCCTGCACCTTCATAATTAAATTAAATCATATTTTACCTTACATTTCAGGGATTGAAAATATAGTTCCAATTTTTTTTTTCCAAAAATATGTTATGGAAAAAAAAAATTTACGGAAACATGTTCCAAAATACATTTCTAGAATTAATTTTTTGGAAATGTATCATGGATTGATGGATTCAGAATATAGTTCTAGGTTGCACATTTAGAAAAAATTAATTTTGGAAATATATTATGGAATCCACTTTCTAGAACATATTTTTGGCAATTTTTTTCCAAAATACATTTTCAAATTAGTTTTTTCTGACACATATTCTGGAACACTCAATCTAAAATGCATTTATAGATTAGATTTTTCATAAATACATTCCAGAATAGGTGTTCTAAAATAAGTTTATGAAAAAGTTAATCTAGAAATGCATTCCAAATTTAATATTGTGGAATTCAGTTTGATTTTCAAAAAAAAACTATTTTGAATAGTCTCAATGTGTAATTTCACTGCAAGAACATGTAATAAATATATAATATTAACAATTATTCACCTTTAAGTGTTCAAAACGATCTTGAATGAAGATGATAACATAAGAAAACAAATTTACAAATATGTGAAGGTGTAAAAGATGAGTAATGGAACTTTTGCAGGAAAATAGAAGGAATTAGTGTTTGAAATTTTTTTTTTTATTGAAATGGTATTTTAGTTATTTTACTTAGAGTATAGATGTGTAGGAAGAAAGTGTCAAGATTTATTTATGTGAGGACATCATTAGGTGGGCTTGATGGTCCATGAGGTCAAGGATGCAGGGGATGAGAAAGGATTTGATGCCAAGCCGAAGATGGTTTAGGGTTTTGGTAAGAGACAAAACGGTGACGTGCAAGGGGTAAGGAAATGGGAGCGACTGAGACAAAGTCAAATTGAAGTTGTTCTTAAGGTTGTGAGAGAGATAGTCACAAAACAAATCTTGGCTCTCAAAATAGTCTCATTCTGATCAATCTTGAACCATTGTCACCTAGTTATGGTCATATAAATATCAAACTTCAAGAAGAAGGGTAATGTAATTTTATTTCGGTAAAACCCTACACAGAATATATAACTTATCACTAACTTGAAAATCGAAGTGTCTTTGTACTTACTACAACTTCTCGGACTCTAGAACCGGTTACCCCGAACAAACACATTAAGAAGACCACATACTAGTAAACAAACAAAAAAAGGTTAGTGTTCGATCTTATAATAATAAATAATATAATTAATGCATTGCCATTCATGTTTTGTTTATTTCTATTATTTACTATTTATGTAGATTTGTGAGTTAGTATTTGAAGTGATATTATCTTGTTTGTATTTATAAATTTGGGTCGATTTGCATTGATTTGGGTGTGAGTCCCATGTAATGAGAAACCTCATGATGGAGCAAAAAAAACATGTATTTATAAAAAAAATGAGATAAAATGACATAAATAACCTTATATAAATAGTGATCCACGTGAATTAAAGTTTTAAAAATTCCTTTTAAATGAGTAATGACATAAATAACTTAATCTTTTAATTTCTACTTAATTTATCTATTCTAACTCACAAGATAATTTAATTATTACACTAAAAATACTATTATTCAATTATCTATATTTAAAGAGCTACAATAAATCCTTTCAACTCCCTTTAAATCTATTATCTTTCCCTCACTGTAAATAACCCCATGAATTCACTAAAATCACCTAAAATTCATTGTCTCAGTCCCAATCCAAACATAAGCTTAGTAAAGTGACACAATATTATGCAGTGAAATTCCTATTGGTGAGATTTAACTTTATTAGTCATTAAGGTCATCTTACATTAGTTTTATATTGTGTTGGAACAAAATAGACCAACATTGTTTGATTTAGGGATGAAATAGAATTTTTGACAAAATATAAAGATAAAAACACATTTAACTTCAATTTTAATTTTAATAGAAAACAAAATAATATATTAAAATAATAATAATAATAATATACAATAAAAAATAGAAAACTCAATTTAGTGTAACCACAATATATTTTTCATTAAGAATTCTATCACTAGAAGATAAAAGAGTAAATCATCATATTAACAAGTAATATTTGTCATAAATAATACATTTTTTAAAATAACAATAAAATATTTATCAATTTATTTATCAAATTAGACATCATCATAACAATCCTTCTTTCTATTTTTCTCTTTCTTCGTTTATTTCTCATTTATTTCTTCCTTATTTTTTACTATTTTCATTCTTACTAGTCTTTTTATTTTCCATAGTCTCTCGTCTCCCATTTATTCTTCTAGTTAAAAATACTAGATTTAAATTTATTAAAAACATGTTACAGATTTTTTTAAAACTAACATTGAAACTAAAAGAGATATCAATTAATTATTTAAAATTATGATGATAATAAATAATTTATTTATGATAATATTAAATAATTATTTTTAAATTATTTTATCATAACAAATAAATTACTCATTTAATTAAAAAATATTAAATATTTATGAGTTGAATTTATTTTTTTATTTATAGAAATTTAATATAGTTATAATAAGTTAAGGTTATTATATTAGTCAGATTAAATAATTTTAAAAGAATATTTATTAAAAATAATTTAAAATAAATATTTTATTATTTTAATATTGATTTAAGAAAAATAATTTTAACATAATTTTTATTAAATTTTAATATAATATTTTTAAGTAGAAGAATGAAAGAGAACGAAAGAAAAAAAAAAAAAGAGAAAAACAACTAGTAAATGATAAGATATAAAAAATAAATACGAATGAGTGAATAAGGAGAAAAAAATAAAAAATAAAGAAAGAAAAAAATTAAATATTTTCTATGAGAGAATTTAATTTATTTTTCGTAAATTTTGTGTATGAATAATAGTAATGTCTAATTTAATAAATATATTGATAATAATTTTATTTAAGTATTTTTTTTAAACATCGAATCTTTTATTGGCACTAAAAGTAACTTAAATCTTTTCCGGTCACTAATTTTAGTGGCTTTTTTTTCAATGTATTAAGTAAATTATGGATTATTATTAATTAAAATTTAAAATATTATCTTATATCATATGACAATTTAAGATGCGTTGTATATTCTTATTTTATATATATGGTCTTGTCTTAGGTGGGGGATTATAAATTTGTTATCCTACACAATCCTACACATTTATTATATTATTCCATGATTATATTATTTTCACATTTGGGCAAATGAATATTAATATTATCTTCTAAAATTTCATCATGTTATAGTATAATGCTGTGAATGGTTTAGAATGATGAGTAGGTTTAGTTCATCTCAAACTTTTACTGTCTTATGCTAGGTACTCTGTTTTGGTTGCTATTTTTTATATAGTTTGAGATTATTTTGCATTCACTTCGTTGTATTTGTGCAATGAAATATTTTTTCTATCATTTAAGCATACATTGGTATTTATTGTGTTTGTAATAACTGTAGAAAACAGATGTTGTTGTTTTTACACTAGAATGAAATTATGTGTGCGTATGATAGGATTTGAAGTAAAATTATAGTGATTGTATTTTTGTTTTCTTGTTTGATTAACTCTACGGTAGCATTATCCTATTGTAGCGCTTTACATCAAGTTAAATTTATTTATGAAATATTAGGTTGCAGTAGAAATTTGATTGTTATCTTCTCTCTCGTGAAAACTAGGGAAAAAGAAAAAACAGACAGAAAAGTAGAAGAAAAAGTTTTATGTATATTTTGTGATAGTGACAGGGTAAAGTAATAGGAAAGGGTTGATACATTAGGGACAATAACAAGAGCTACTTAAGTAATAATGAGTAAACACGTCGTTGGAGGATGAAGAATTGAAGCCATGGACGACGTGGGTGTGGTTATTGCAGAAGAAAACAAGTTTAGGAGGAGTAGGGTGGTGGCTTAGGCAAATCCTTGACGATGCCGCAAAGGAGCTGGGTATCTGGGAGGTTGTACTCATCCCTCAGGGACCTGTTTGGAGATAAAACACTCACGTACAACTGCTGTCCCAGGTAACGATTCTCGGTCACCTCCGACCTCAAGTTCCACATCCCAGCGTTGTCGAATGTCAACATGATTGCAGCCCAAGACTTGGGGAACACCTGAACTGTGTGTCTGCTCACAGCATCAAGAAGGTTGTAGTTCTTCCTCTTCTCGGGGGACCACTTCCCTGGCTCAATGCTGCAACGGCAAATTCATTTCCAAATCAAAGTCAATGCAATAATCAGAGAGAGAGAGAGAGAGAATTTTATGAATTAGGGTTTGGGAGACTTACGCGACGGCAAAGAAAGAGTAGCCATCCAAGTTGTAAGACTGGGGAACCTTTGTGGGGTTCTCAAAGATGACTTCGATGAAGTCGCGGAAGGTGGCGTTGATGACGTTGGGAGCAAGGGTGAGGTCGCCGATAGGGGAAACGGGGTCGTCGGAGATGAGGTTGTACTTGAAGACCTGGTCGCTAACGCCGTAGTACTCAGCGAGTTTGAGTGGGGTTTCGGGGTCAACGTGAGAGACACCGTTAAGTCCGTAACGGAGTTTTCCACCGGCCCTGCTGAGGGTGTTAACGAGCTTGATGGTGCGGGTGATGTTGATCTGGCCGTAGTGGTAAGAACCCTGAGGGTTGGGCCTGGCGGCGCTGGCGGTTAGGTTCCATCGGAAGGAACGGAACTGGTTGAGAGACCAGGCCCAACCTTCGGGTGCGGGGGGAAGCTCAGGGGAGGCGGGGCCGACACCGTTGGAGTAGCGGACGATGCGTGTGGCGCCAAGGGTCTTCTTGGTGAACCTTGTGGAGGCGACCATGTAGTAGTCCTTGGGCACCTGGTCGGCGGTTACGAGAACAGAGAGGCACTGTCCGACGTGGACGTCGAGGGAGTCGTAGATGTTTTGAACAACGTGAGAGCCTTCCATCTCAACCAGCTTCATGGGGTGGCTTTGGATTCTGAAGTTGATGGAGTTCTTGAGCCCCACATTGCAGATTCTGTATTTGTAAGTCTTCCCTGGCTCCATGGTGTAAAGGGGCTCAAGCCCACCGTTTTTACCGTTGATGTGGACCCCACTGGGCCTGCCAAGGCTGCGTCCACTGTCCAAAAATTGCTTGAGGGTCTGGTGGGTCTTGCCGTACCAGTCACCAAGGAGGACCCAGAACTCGTCGGCGGGGTCAGCATAGGGGACTGGGATCAACAAGCGGCTGTAGATTCTCAAACCGCCGAAGCCTCCGACGGCGCGGTGCAGGCCGGTGATGGGGTAGTAGAAGTAGCTGCCGATCTGGTCCTTGACTTGGAAGCGGTAGGTGTAGTTGGTGCCTGGCTGGATGGGGCATTGGGATCCCAAGGTGCCATCTTGCCATGAGTTTTTCCTCTGTTGGATACCGCTCCAGGTGAACAAGATGGGCTCGTCGAGGAAGTTAAAGACGTTGACCACAACGTTGTTGTTGCTGGTGGAGTTGATTTCGGGGCCTGGGAACTGACCGTTGATCAGAATGCCCTGTTGTTCAACACCCAATGGTGCAACTGTGCCGTAGGTGACGTTCCAGGTGTAGAAGATGTAAGGGTCTTCGCCATGAACCCCTGCTGCCATCAGGCATGCCATCAACGCCACCATCAAACTCGATACCCGACCCATTTTTTTGCTACCGTTAAGGATGCTTTTCCTTCTTCTCCCCCTCCCTTTTTTCTTTTTTTTTTTTATTCAACCCTTTCCTATCTCCTTCCCTTCTGTTATTGGAAGAAGAAGGATCGTTATTGTTTTCTTCTGCTTTCATCTGGACCTGCATCTTCCCCTTTTATACCCATGCCTCCAACTATTTCCTCCGAGTTTCCCCAACTTCTCTCTCTCCCCCATTGGCGCACCTTGCATGTCGCTTCAATTCTGTTCCGCACCTCATGCTTCGGTTTAACTTTACGTTTTCTCCGGATATTTTTGGCAGTTTGGGTCACCCATCAGAGCTTTCTATTCATTTCTCACTCTGTAACATGTCACTGCATGATAATATTAATTGAAGTATTTTTTCAATAAATTATAATGATGTAAAAACATAATATAAGTACTTAAACATACATTGTACCCTTAAATATTTATATTAATATATTTTTATTTATATACATCAAGTTCAGTGTAATATATATAGTTTAAACTATACAAAATATATGAGCTAAGATTGTGTTCTTATTGTTCATTCTTGTCAATTGAACACAATAATTAAGGAAAAAATTTGTTATAATTCAACTATTGTATCACTAAAAAAAGTCAAACATATTAATTGTCAATTGAATACATTTGATTTGTTGAATGAATGGTGCTGGACAATACAGAAAGAACTTTTATTGTTATAGAAAATCTTTAGTCCAGTGTATTTTGATAATAGGTAGCATAAAGCAAAATATTTTAGAGAGCTCATACAAATACACCCTTCCTTTTAGAAGACACCATGTGATACTTCCATTTGATTTGTTATTTTTTATTCTAAATTTAAAGAGTGTTGATTAATGTGATATCTCTTCAATAAAATATATTAAAGGTGTTTATTTTTTTTTCTTATAAAAGATTAAAATTAACATTAATTGGCACAACTTTCACTTTCCTATACACCAAAACAAGTTTTCACTCCTCTAGGATCAAAGTAGGACTATATTTTTGTCACTTATTATTAAAAAAGATAACGAGAAATGAGAATGGTAGGTTAGAGAGAAAAATAGATAAATATTGTTTTAAAATATTTTCTACTTGATTAGAATTATTAATAATTTGGTATAATTCATTCGTTTCCAGAAACTTAATTTGATTGATATTTTTAAGTTTGATCTTATTTTAATGGGTAATTTTGATGTATTTTAAAAAAATTAAAAAAAAATCTTTAAAAAATAAAAAAATGAAATAAATTTATATAAATTAAATTAATTTTAATTTTATATATAATAATTTAATATTTAAATTAGTATATATTAATAAAATAATTAAATTTTCTTATTTAAAAAATATTATTATTTTATAACATAAATTAAAGTAAAGTTTATACTTATAGTTTATTCAGATCACATATTAAATTAATCTATTTATTTTATATTATAAATGTTTATGATTTAATTTATTGTTTAACAAAATTATTAATATCTATTTAGGTATGTGTAATAAAAAAATATGTCTAAGTAAAAAAAAATTATTTATTACCGAAGATAAAATAGATTAATCCGTCCCATTATGATTTTTTTTCTCTAATCTATTAAAAATATAATGGGAAGAATTTATCTATCAGAACAGATTATACACATCATGATCACAGTGGGTTTACAAGTTAAAGATTAGTGAATGAATCTATTAATTTTTTTAATATATATGTATATATATATATATATATATATATATATATATAACTTTTTTATATTTAAAAAACTAATCATATAAATATTTTCTAAGTATTTATTTAATTAATATTTTATTAAATAAATTTAAAAAAATAATTTATATATTAAAATACTCACTTATAATTAATGAGTTAAGTTTAATTTATTGATACTCATTATCTATATTACAATCTTGAGGCGGTTCTTAAATTACTATGTTGGCGTGTTAACGAGGACGAAAGAGTGGAGTGTGCACATAAAACATAGAAGGTAATAAATATTTGATAATTGGCTCTCAATCATTATTCTCATGATCGTTACTGTTCTTTTTTTCATATTCTTATTCTGTGATATATCAACGCTAAATTGGTTTTAATATTTATTTACAAGCTACCATTCATTTTCTCATTTAAAATGTTCCATGTAACCAATGTAAACGGAGCCATGGAAAAATTTTCTGGAAGACCAAGTTCATTTAACCATATGTACGTACGCATGTAGAAGATATTTTTAATGTGTATCAAAATTCAAGTTATAAATTCCTTAAATGATACTTGTAAGTTTTTCTCATTGATAAATAAAAATAAAAATAAAATTTTAAAATTAATTATAATCAAATAAAATAATGCTATATATATATATATTTAAAATTGTCATAAAGTATTATAAAAAGACTATTAAAAAAAGTAAATGACACTTTACTATTTCGTTAGAGAGAAGGAAAAATATAATGATCACTGTTATAAGAGATCATTATAAAAAGTGAAATAAAAACTAATTTTTTATTCCACTATTTTTATTTTTTTATCCTATTATTATTATTGTTATTATATTCAATATCAATTTAGTTTCACATTTTCTAAAAATTTATCCATTTATTCTCATTAATTACGTAGTTATATATATATATATATATATATATATATATATATATATATATATATATATATATATATATATATATATATTAAATCTCAATATCAATGTCACATCAACAAACGGAATCACATGACATTTTGATAACTTGATCAAAAGGGTTATATTGCTATATAAAAAAATAGGACCAAACTAATACTAAAATTAAGAGTAGAAAAAAAAAAACTATCTGACCTTTTAGATCGATAATTATTTTTAACTGTAAAATGATTATTTTTAAAAAAATTAACAAGAACACAAATAATCTATTTCTGATTGAAAAGAATCATCATAGTCCCCTCGGTGTTTAGCCAGTTTTCAATTACTGGACTTTTAGTTTTATCACACCACTATTTTATTAAACATCAAAGAACAACCAAAATTTATATTATAATAATAATATTTAATTAATTTTATTTTCATAAATCTTTTAATAATTATTATATTAATAAACAGAATTGTTTAAGAGATGTTTGTGATCAACCAGTTGTTAATATATCATCCCTCTAATTTTATTCATATGTTCTAGATTAACTGTCGGTGTTCAAATTCAATGTGTACTATAAAAATTGATGTCTCGAAAGTGCGAATGAAGTCGTGGGCGGGCATCAATGCCAGGGTGGTCTATAATCTAAATTAATTTTTATGTAGATTAAACCCGATTCAATTACTTAATATAAATTTTTTATTTAAAACTTTCTAATTTCTAAAAACCAATGTTGATAAATTTAAAATTAAATATTCTCAGTATTTTTTGTTGACAGTAACAATTTTAATTCATATCGATATCCACAATTTTCCAATTAGGATAATGTAATTGCATTCATAATCTTGAATTCTTCCAAAATATTTCTTAATACTTGCTCTAATAAAAGTTCGGAAGGAAAAATAATATTTCTTTTTCTTTTTATTAGACGTCATCAAACGAATGAAAAAATGTTGTAAATTACATAACGACCCACAGGTCAAAATCAGTTTTTGTTGGGAGGAACAAATTGATATGATCCTAACAAAGATATTTCATGCAACTACAGCTGATTTCACTCGCAGGTGCTTCCTCCATATCTTATCTCCTTCCAAGGGGTATGTTTACACAGATGAAACAGATAAATAACGATAAAACAGATATCACTATGAAGGCAAAGTTCATGCTAGATGGAAACCAAACTCTACAAAAGAATTAGCTAAATCACCAACCTAAGATATGGTAGGCATGCGTGGTTGAAACCTCAGCATGCATGAGAACTTAAATCCATGTGAAATCTGCGCAACGAAGGCAAAATAAACAATCAAACATTATTACAGATTGTAGCTTGGGTGCCAAACTATCCAAACAAGTACAAGTCTCTGATCCTTTTTTTCTTCCGTTATTCCTATTCATATATTAACCTTGCCAAGTAATTCAAATTATTCTGCTGACCAACCCGAGTTTGCATTATTTCAAAAGCATTAATGGAAGAACAATATGTGAAGGAGAGAAGGAGGCTGAGGTAAAATAAAATGAAATAGCACAAATCAGACTCAAAGACAACACCATTCTTATCCCATTGAAACCTTGGCAGAGGGACTAATTATTGTCGCAGAATACCCAAGTTGGCATTCATCTTTGAGGGGGATCAACTGTGCGAACATTAGCAACTGCCATTCCCTCAATTCGGTCCTTTGTTATTTCCACAAAGTGACCAACAATCTCATGAAACTGCTTGAGCCCTGACAGGGGAAGAATGATGGAGGATCGATCAGAACCAGCAACCTGCAATAAATAACAAGGATTTACAGCAGAAATTCCTCTTCCCATGCTAATATAAAACAAAGGAAAAGGACAAAAAGATAATGACAGCACACCTCAGATATTCTTAAGAAATGACCCCTATTATTGCTCCCAAGATCAAAGAAGAATCTTTTTTGATCAGCCCTGATTACTTTCGAGACCCCCAAGTTACCAATTTCATCCTGAGGAGGCAAATCAACAGACCTGTCCACATTCAACTCAGAAGAAGTGGCAGGTTGACTACTATGACCAGATATGAAGCCAGCACCAACATCATCCGAAAGTCCAACAAGACGCTCTGAGGTTTCAGAATTTTGCTATAGTGGAATGCAAACAATCAAATAAGATGAAACAAATAAAAAACAGTTTCGACTACTCTTGTGGCTTAGAAGAAAAATATGTTTGATTTCTAAAGTAGGAAACCTGATTGGGTAGAATGAAAAGCCTTGAGGCTTCATTGATCTCGGCCAAAATATTCCTGAATGCTGCCCATCCTTCATCCCTAGAGCTTCCAGCGGGAACAATTATAGTGCTACGGTTTCTGCTGACTGAAGCTTCAGAAACCTAAAAATAATACATAAGAATCAGAATCTTGAAGCAGAATATACATATGGATAATATTCATCATAAGTTAGAAGTTAATAAATGTAAATATGGAAGCCCAAAATAATGAAAACATTTTTTGGTTGATGTAGTAAGAATTGTTTGCAAAAGTTTGTGCAGATTTTCTCAGGTGTGATTGGTAGGAAGGATAAATAGGTAAGAAGAAGGAAGAGAGAAATAGACTGGAAATAAAAATGTTTGATATGAGAGAAATAGAAAATAAATATGATGGAGATAAATAGGAAAAATAATAAAAATTACAAGAAAATCAATTATTGGGGATTAAAAATGAACTGGGATTTTTAGGGGTAATTGTTATTCATTTCCACATATTTGAAAGTTGAAATAAATATTTGTGGGGCCCACACCTTTTTAGTTCTCTCCTCTCTTATTTTCATCCTATCAAACATCCTTCATTTCTCATTTTCTCTATTTCCTGTCCCTCCTCCCTATTCCCTTCTATTTCAATGCTACCAAACAGAGGATTAAGGATATATTTTTGGCAAATTTAAATGCAAAACTATTAACAGGGACCAATGTAAAAGATAAAGGGAATGCAGAATATAGAAGTTGACAGCATAGCTTCATATGTTCCTCATCGATGCATACTCTAAACCTTGCTTTTTGTTTAATTGTTTGGGGGTGAATAATAGATAAATGTTGTAACACCAAATTCCAAACATTTTTTTTCATTTGTAATACTACGTGTAGAAACAAACAGCACCCAACAATACGAACATCCCAAAACTTCCACTACAAACTTATCTAGTCTGCAACAACTTTCCCACCCTCATACATTGTAGACACTTAAGCTAGTCGGCTACACAAGGACATGCCTTAAATATGAACACCCAATCTGGCAATAAGAGCATGTTTGGGAAAGATGAATTGTTTGGGACAACTACTGAAATTTGTAAGATTTTCTCCTGAAAAATAAGCTGATTTTATGAATCTGAAAATTTATGTCCTATATTTATTTTACAACATATTTTTCCTCTTCAGCTTCATACATTTTTTTTCTTATATAAAAGCTGATTTTATAGAGTAATGCATTCAAATAAAGTTATCTTACAATCACTTTTCAGCAAACTTATCCAAAATCTTATATGGTTTATAATTGATTACACATATAATCAATTATTGAAGTAATTATGTCATCGTAACTATCCCAAAAACACCCTAAGAATAAAAATGGACATAGAAGATACCCCTTAAATGCTGTAAAATTTTTGCACAGACAAGATAAAAGGTTGATTTCTATCCATGTTTGACTTAATATACTACAAAACCAAATAGTGTGTCAACAATATATAACCATTTTCGTAATAATACTTCTTTTAAGGTTTTGTTATTCAAAAGCCAGTAACTACGTTTCACATTCTATCTTAGTGTTAGGAAAGAGAAATTAAGGGAATAGGATTTAGAGGAGGAGGAAGGAAATAAAAGGTTGATGTATTGAACATAGATGTTACAGATTAAACAATTGTATAAGTATAATAAGAGTATCCTGAGTTGAAGGTCATGGGAGTATCTTAAAAAGAAGGCCAAACTTGATGACGGTTTTTGGCATTTTTGCATAAATAAATCTCGAACAAGCAAGCCAAACAAAAGCTATGAATCATAGATCTAAACTAAGCTTCAAAAGTTGAAGCCATTGACAGACCAGAAATTCTGCCAATGGCATGATTTCTTCATAAACTTCCTCGTAGTACATTCTCTCTTTCTAATTGTAAACAGGGCTTTACTTGCACAGTCAAAGCCATATAAATCCAACATCTTGGTGGCATGCAAGATTCTGTTTCGATACGACCATAATAATTCAACTAAAAGTTCACAAAGCACAACTAATTTTCTCTATTTTATTGTGACTAGGAAGGCTGTGAAATTCCTAGAGCTTACAGCAACATTATAAATTTCACGCAACTAAAATAGGAATGTCTAGCTAGATACCAGACTTACTACACAATCCAAATTAAAATTTGTTTCCCTTTTCTACATTTTGATGACAAATCCTAGTTCAAAACCCTAAGGTTATTAATGCCCCCAGTCCCACCCTGTTCTGCATTTAGCACTAGGCCCTTCCTCATGTAGCGTTGCTCATTTTCTACCTCTTTTGTACATGTGTTGGGTTAATTGACAACTTCATTGTCATAATTAAATTTCCTTATGTCTCACGAAAACACATTTATCCCTAGATTTTTTATCCTCCATTCCATGACAATATAGAAAAGCTTCCCTATATACAAAACCAGAGTATATAAACAAACAAACAAATATTAAAACTTACCTTAAATTCAGACATATACACAGACACACCCATATTCTAATTTTCGACATTAGAAGTAAAGCATTCCAAGAAGGAACCATTATTTTAACACAGCCAACACGCTACTATTAACAATCTTTTACCAAAAAATACTACAGACACAAATATAAAAAACTAAAACAGCATATAATTAGGTTAAAAAATGCTATACAATTCGCTTAAAAGCTTAACCTATAGCTGTCGAAGCCAAGGCAAGCCATTGGAATTGAGTTGGTGTTAATATGTTATCACACACTACTCAACTTCTGCTTCATCTCACTTCCACCTCATCTTTTCTTTCTATCACTCTTTTCATTTTCTGTCACATCTTTTCTCTCTTCAGTTATTCTCCCTCTCTACAGACGGTTTCTCTTCTCTCTCTTCCTTGCACCCACCCATACACGCCAAAAGTAAGGTGTATGTTAAACATTTTCCACTTCAATTCGAGCATAAGAAAAAGCGAATTAAGTACCTTCAAGAAACGCCCCCTCCGATTCTCGCCAATGTCGAAGTAGAAAACCTGAAAAAAAAAAAAAAAAGGAAAGAAAGTGTTAGGAAGAAGCGAGGAAAAGAGTCAAGTTAGGGGGTCGGGTTGGATTACCTTAGTGTCGAGCTGCAATTCCTTGCTGAAGAGGTCTTGGTCGTCGGAATTAACGTAGTAATTGAAGAGATCGAGGAACCAGGATATGCCGGAAAAGGGCACGATGATGGTGGACCTGGTGGCGGAAGTCTTCTCCGAAATCTTAAGGTAACGGCCGCGAGGGTTCTCCTTCAGATCGAAGTAGAAAAGCTTGTGCTCGACCTGCAGCGTTTTGCAGAGCAATTCGACGTCGTTTCCGCCGCCACCGCCAGAGTTTCCCTCCATCACCGCCAACAACGAATCTGGATGTGGTCGCTACAGATCTGGGTGGGCGAGTAACTATCTAAGCGCGCATGAGGGTTTGATTCGCGAGTTTCACTTCAATTGCAACGACGGTTACACTCCCCCCTCACACGAACTCATGCGATTGGAGACGTTTTCGTTTCTCCGATGTGGAGCCGTTGGTTGGTTAAACGAAGCCTCTCTCGCTTCGCAGATCCATCTGATGGGATCTTTTCACCGCACGAGTCAATTAGTAGCAATTGGAAATTACTTACTGGGTTTCCAACTTTCTATCATAAATTCATCAAATTTAGCCGAAAGTCAAAGAAAAAACATAAACCCAATTTTTATTTATACTTGAAAAAGAATAACGCATGTGTGAGATTGAGATTGGAAAATTTGATCAAAACCTAAAAAGGCCTCATCATATCTATCCATTACAACCATGGTTCCATTTAGAATATGTTTGCGACGAACCAAGCATGTCAAAAGAAAACAAACACCAATGTTTTTTTTTTTTTTTTTTAATTAAGGGAGTTGTATAATGTTGAAAATTGTGATCAATTTTTATTTTTAATACTTTTAATGCATGAATTATGTTTAAGATTTATCATAGATAGTTTATATTAGTTTTTGTTTATATTATTATTGGTAGTTTCTTTAAAACATCTTGAAATTTTTTTTAGAAATAAAGATGAAAATCAAATATTGAAAAAAATAGAGTTCAGATTTTTCATTAATGTTCCCTTAAAAGAAACTCTTAAACATGCTCTCGTTGGATAAAAGTAATGGAAGAGGATATATTATTTATATATTTATTTTTATTGTATCCAAAAACTTCTTTTTTCTATTTTAAAAATCTAAACTTTACGTTTTGTTTGGGTGTGAAGAGAATGAAAAGGAAAAAGGTACAACAGAAAGAAATTGAAAAATAAAAATAAAAAAGATTAAAGTTACAGAAGTTATTGAATTGAAATACAAACGAGATGGGGCCTCGTCAAGTTGTTGCAAACAATTATTAAAAGATAAGAGATTGGATATCGTTTTCGAGAATTGAAGGTGGTTCCAAATTTATTAAAATTAATTTAATAAAAAAAAGGATGGTTTACAATTGATCAGTGTAGAGAAAAAAATTAAAAAGTTTTAGTTTAATTTAGAATGCAAAATGAAAGAAAGTTGGTTTAATTCAAATAGCAAAAGGATTAGGACTCATCTTTCATTTTCACATCAAATTCTTATTTATTTTATTTAAATTCATTTGAATAAATATTATAAACAATATACATTTAAAAATTACAATAAAAAATTTATAAATTTATTTATCCAACTACATTGATTTTTTATTAGTACACAAAATTTAATAAGAGAAAATACTTTCATTTCACATAATATAATTTGTTTTTATCTTTACTAGTTTATTTTCTTATTTTTCTCATGTTTTATTTATTTTTGTTTTTTTTCTTTATTTTTCTCTTTTATTCTTCTCTCAGTCCATCTTATCTTTTAATTAAAAGTAATAAATTAAAATTTGATAACATAAATATTTTATTATTATTGAAAAATACAAATATTTAAATGATCTAAAAATATTATAATTTAATATAAGAAAAAAATATTATAAAATAAATTTGAGATATTATAAAAATTATTATACTATAATTATTAAAAAAATTATTTTAAAGTATTTTTTAAAATTCTTTAATTTAATTAATTATCATAATTCAACCTAATTATAACTAGATTAAATTATTAAATAAAAATATATTTAAATTATAAATATTTAATACTTTTTAATTAAATAAACAATTATTTATTATGATAAAATAATTTTAAATATTTAATTAATATTTTTAATTTTAATATTGTTTTAAAAATATTTATTTTAACATATTTTTATCAAGTTTTAAAACAATAGTTTAATTTAATTAAGAGAATAAGTGAGAGAGTAGAGAAAAATAAAAGATATGAGATTAAAGAGAAAAATTAAGGAGTTAATAATAAAGAAAATAAAAAAATTATGAGAAAAAAAAAGAAAAACTGTATATAGATAATAAACAGATCTACATGATAATTAAATTCGTATAAATTCTATATAGATAATTTTTCTTTTAAAATATTCTATTGTTATATTCATTCAATTCATTTTTCCTTTTGTCTTTTAGATTTCTAATTTATTTCAATGATAAATTAACAACCTTAAAAATCCAAACAGTAATGAGTATCGGATCCTTATTCATTCATGGTTAAAATAATTGTTAGATTTATATTTCAGCAAATCTACAAAAAAAAAATCACAAATAGATAAATATGAAGAACATCGAATGCAAATAAATAGAGACATATTTAAGGTTTTCTTTAAAATTCTCAAATCTAATAAGTTACATTAAATCCAACTAACCTGAACATATATAACAAAGGATTAAGGAGAAAAAAAAGTAGGGTTGTACTTTGGCAGTTTAACATGCAATAAATTAAAAAATATATTAAAATTGAAAATTATTGTTTTTAAAATTATTTAGATCTGTTATTTTTTATGGTCATTTATGTTATATTTTTTTCGTTTAAAATGATTTTAAAAATAAAATTATTAAATAGTTATTTTTCAATTTATTTTTAAAATCAGTTTTTTAAATACTCTTTGTCAGCTTTTTTTTTTTCGTTTTAGTCTTCTTTTTTATTTAGTAGAGTTCTAATATTTACTCCAAATAAAACCTTTTATGACATTTTTCATTCTAGAAGTTATTTATTTAAAGACAGAATAATTTCAAATTTATAATAAGCGGCCAAATTAAAATAATAATAATAATAATAATAATAATAATAATAATAATAATAAAATTTAGATAATCTAAGAAGTTATTTGATAAAAAGAATTAGTATAATTTTCTGACATTTATTTGAAAAAGAATACAAATTTACTATTATATTAATAATATAAATAAATAAATAAAATGATTTAAAAAATAGATAAGTAATACATGAAAGATCTATCTCATCCTAACAAAGACACCAAATGTTATTTGTTGAAAAAAAATTTCACCTCGTTTGAGAAATAACTTTTTTTACTTGTAGTCAATGTTAACGAAGGAAGAAGAATGATTAAAAAATTATTTGATATGATATTCTAATAGATAACTAAGTTAAAATTATTAATTATGTTAAAATTGAATTAATTAAATTTGGATTAATCGATTAAATATGTAATTAATTGATTATGTTATTTAAATTCATGATTTCATATATTATGCACTAATAATTATTTAGTCGATTACATGATTACATCACGCACTAATAATAGATTATGTTGATACCTAATAAATTATATGATTTATATTCAGTTTGTTACTATATGCAAATAATATATTAGATGTTTTGCTAATTGATTATATTAATTAATTGTAATATATTATATGAATCATTTGTAATAGGTTTTCTTTATGAAAAGATGAAAATTTTCATAAATAAAATATATTATGAAAAACTATTAAAGTATAGCAAAACGAAGTTTTAGTGGGCATCAATGCAATGTTTTGATTTTGGAAAGCATTTTGAGAAAATCAAATTCAAAGAAGAAATGTTTGATTACATGATCATGTATTTTTAGGTGAATTTGTTCTTGTTTTTTTTTTTTAATCTCTACTGTACATTGATATTTGTGGGATGAATAAGTTCAAGACAACTTGAAAATTATATGATTATCATTTTTGAATGTTGTAGTTTTTGTTAGATCTTAATTAAAGTGTGTGGTTATTCAAGATCTGTAACTTATGTTATAATTTTGTTATTGAAAGTTTTTAGTGAAAATTCGATTACTTGAATAATTAAGTGTAGATTCAAATCAATTGAACTAGTATAAAATTCTTGTGTTTTTTTTTTAATCTTAGTATTGTGGCCACTTTAACACATTTCTAATTTTTTTCAATATATTATCATAAAATATTCAAATAATTAATTAAAGTTCAAAAGATCTTAAGAACCAAATTCACCTCCTTTTGAATGTTTTTAGTCATTCAGGTTTTTTAATGGTCAAACTATTCAAATATATGATTTAGTTATATTTTTAATCTTTTAGATAATTAACATTTTTTTTAATCTTTGAAATTCAAAATATTTTAATCTCTTAAATTAAAAAAATGTTACTTCCTTTAATTGAATAAAATATATTTTCAATAAAAATATATTTTTAATTTCTTAAATTTAATACAATATAATTTGAGTTCTTAAATATTAAATTTAAAGTATTAAAAGAACTCATTTTAATATCTCAAATTTAATATTTATTGTGATTTCTTCTTTAAACTATTTTTTATTGTAGGTGTTATCCATTGAATATGAATTTTATTAGACTAGCTTTTGTTATTATTACTTATGAGTGAGTTATGATATATACTTGAGATTTACCACTTCATAAGATAAATAATTGTTTGTATTTATAGATGCTAAAGAAATAATGTTTTGAAAAGGACCGAACAGTAAAGAAATGAATATGAGTGTAATCCAATTTAATAAAATAATATTTTTATAATATAATAAATATATTAATAATAATATTTTTTATAAAAAAATAAAAATAATAAAAATGACAGTTATAATTATAATAAAGTATGATAAAAATTATAAATATAAAATATATTAGGGAGTGAAAAATTAATAATTCTTAAAATAAGATAAAAATATAATAAAATAACTATTATTTAAAATTTATGTGACTAATATATAAAAAAAAAGTTAGAATATATTATATTTAAAAAATAATATATTAAAAAAATTGATCTAAATATTTTTTTTATCATAAAAGTTTAACCAATTTTATCTCGATATTTTTTTATTTTATTAAAATTTGATTATTTAAAGACAAATTGATTTTTAATTTGATTTCCAATTCAATTAGTTAAACCGATCTCATTTTTAAAACAAGAGACATTTATCTCAATGTACAATCGGTTTAGTTGGATTGTATTATATCATTTATTTGGGAAATAAATAATGAACCCCGATTTACT